TATATTAATTGTATTTGTCACTATTTTTATATTGTAAAAAAAGTATTAACATTTAAGCAAAATAATTTTTTTATTTAATAAACACTCTTAACCTGATTATTTGGTTGGAGTTAAAGACCAAGTATTTTATAAAATCACAATATCATCTTCTTTATAATATTTGCTTATTATAAAAAATGTTTAAAGAAAAAAATTGTAACTATGTGTGATGATGGATCTTAATTACACTTACTGTGGTGATTTCACAATATATATAAATACTGAATCATTATGCTGTACACCCGAAACTAACATAATGTTAGATGTCAATTATATCTCACTTAAAACAATTTTTTTTTTTTTAGAAAGAGAGCACAGAAGCAGGGGGTGAGGATTCAGAGGGAAAGGGAGAGAGAGAATCTTAAGCAGGCTCCCCCCCAGCACAGGAGCCCACACGGGGCTCGATCCTACAACCCCGAGATCATGACCTGAGCCGAAATCCAGAGTCAGACACTTAACTGACTGAGCCACACAGGCACCCCAATTAATCTCACTTTTTTTAAAAGTTCAAAAAATGTATGAAATACAAGTGTAAAGAAGAAATAATCCCATCATAGAAATTTTAACAAAACCATATTCTGCTACATTTTATAAAATGTTAACATATTTTATATTTAAAATTATGTCACAAGCATTTTTCCATGTTTAAGATATCTTTTCTTCTCCTTGATATTTTATTTGCATTCTTTTTTGCTACATGGACTATATTTTATTTGCTTTTAACTCCTTAAGTTTCTTGGAAATCTTCTGGCAGTAGAGGTTAAAGATTCTTCTAAACATATTTCATTATAGTGCTGTTCAAAATAAAGAATAAATGTACTTCATTTAAGTCACCCCTTTATATGATTAAAAAAAATTAAATTTAGGTTCGATCTGTCCCTTATTGTGGTGGCAAGACACGTGGGTTTAGCTCTGTGATAAAGGGCCCCGGTCTCTGCATGACATCCACATCATCAAGTTCAGGGGCACAAAAACTAACACATTTAAGTTCATCCTTGTGGCTCCAGCTCATGCTTGTGCATTCCAGGTTGGTCTTTTTAAAAAACAGCTTTATTGAAGTATGAGTTACATTCCATAAAATTCACACAGTGTAGGTGTACAATTTATTGACTTATAGTAAATTTACAAAACTGTGTATCCAACAGCATAATCCAGTTTTAGAATATTTCTAACAGGGCCTTTTCTGAATATTTCATATAAATGGCTTCAGACAATATATAGTCGTTTGGACCTGACATCTTTCATCTAGCATAATGATTTTGAAGTTCATGCATGTTACAGAATGTATCAGTGTTTTGGTTTTTTCATTATATGAATATACTACATTTTGTTTATACATTCATGATAGAAATTTGAAATGTTTTTGATTTTTGTCTATTTTGAATATGTTGCTATGAACATTTCTGTTCAAGGTTTTGCATGAACATATGTTGCCATTAGATTCATAGAAATAGATGTTGGATTCTATGATAGGTAAGTTTATATAGCTATTTATGAAACTGCCAAACTGTTTTCCAAAGTAGCTATGCCATTTCACATTCCAACCAACAATGTGTGAGGGTCCCTGTTTCTCCACATCTAGCCAATATTTGTTATTAACCGTCTTTCCTATTATAGCTATTCTAGTAGGCATGCATTGGTACCCTGTGATTTTGATGGGCATTTCTCTAATAACATGATTATTGAGTACCTATTTCGGTTTTTATTAGCCATTTGTATGTCTTCTCTGATGAAAGGTCTGTTCAAGTCTTTTGCTTATTTTTTAAATTAGGTTGTCTTACTATGATCAAGTTGTGAGAGTTATTTATATATTTCAGATGCAAGTCCTTTATCACATACGTAATTGCAAATATTTTCTCCAGTCTATAGCTGGAGTGTTTCTGGACATTTTTAATTTTTATGATAAAAATTTATAATTTTTATGATAAAATTTTTAAAAATTTATCATTTTTTCTTTTTTGGTCTGCTTTTGGTGTCATTTCTAAGATCTTTGTACCTAATCTAGGGCCACAAAGTTTTTCTCCTATGTGATCAACCTAGAAGTTTTAGCTCTTACATATAGCTCTATAATCCATCATGAGTTATTTTTTATTTATGGTGTGAGGTATGAGTCTAAGTTCTTTTTTTTTTTCCAAACAGATGTCCAATTGTCCCAGAACCACTTGCAAATTCTATCCTTTTCCCCACTGAATTTCCTTGGCACTTCTGTTCCAGCTTGTTCTGGCTCTCTCTCACTTTACATCAATCTTTGTTTCCCAAATGCCTGCCCTATAAGTATCAAGCTCCAGCATCAGACAAGAAGACAAATGTTGCAGAGACTGTTTAAGCAGCTCCAAAAATTGCATATGGTTAAAATCCTTAAGATAGATAGGTAGATAGACAGACAGACTGTCTCTTACTGGTTTTGTTTCTTTGATTGAATTCTCACTAATAATCAGGACTATACTTACCCTACAATGCTGAAATTTTCAACTAAAATTTTTTTTGGTAAATGTTACTCAGCCAATCAAAGATTTGCTATTTATATTGAGAGTGGAAATATTCTCTAACTACTAGTTAGGCATACCTCTGTATTCTACCGGTTTAGTGTTCACATCTAAGTCCTTTAATTTTACAAACCTCCCAATTCTTGAGATGTTGAATTTACTCATCTCTTAGTATGTATATAATAAGTTGTTTTATGCCATCCAGGTCTGAGGATGTCTTTCTGTTGAATTTATAGATAAATGAAAATTTAATTGTGTATTAAATTCTTGACCCAAGGGATGTTTTTGTTTCCTTGGAAAACCATAAGGAAAGATATATGTTTATTTTCTCATTCTTTTGTCAATATAATATTAACTCTCCTCTTTTTACTATTCCCAGACACTTCCGGAAATTTTTAATTAATACATTTTGAAGATGTTCTCCTGAGAGCATATGATTAGAACTGCTGTGCTTCTTTTTTTTTTTTTTTGAGATTTTATTTATTTGACAGAGAGAAACAGCAAGAGCAGGAACACAAGCAGGGGGAGTGGGAGAGGGAGAAGCAGGCTTCCCAGGGAGCAGGGAGCCCGATGTGGGACTCTATCCCGGGACCCTGGGATCATGACCTGAGCTGAAGGCAGACGCTTAACGACGGAGCCACCCAGGCGCCCAGAACTGCTGTGCTTCTGATAAATTAAAATCCTTGTCATTAGGCCATGCCTCTCTGTATATCTTATTGGACTTTTTAAGCTTAAAATCTACTCCTTTTTTTTTACATTAATATAATTACTCTAGTTTTCCTTTACTTAGTACTTCCCAGAAAATCTTTTTTCATTTTTTACATCCCAACTTTTCAGTTTATTTTTGTTTTAGATATACTTCTTAATAATATCATATGATAAAAATTTGCACTTTATCTTATCATTTTTCTTTTAATTGTGTAATTTAACCCAATTATGTATATTGTGATTAAGTAAGTGCTACCATCTTGCTTGCTTTATATTGTTACCACTTTTTCTCTCCCTTTTTGTCCTTCCTTTTTGGGGTTAAGTATTTTTTTCTTTGTTTTCTTCTTATTCCAATTTTTTTCCTTGTAGATATATACAATTTGTTCTTTTTAATTGGTAACGCTTGAACTTTTACCATGCATGTTTATTATTTAATGATTTCTGAAGTTAATGTATTAATCCCACCCATGAACAACATAAGCACTGTAGACTATGTTAACTCATTAGAGAAGGGATTGATGAGGCTCAAACATGGACAAAAGCAATAAAATCCTGAAACACTTCTTCAAGGTACAGCATAATATCTCATTTTCTGTGAAATATTATATCAGTTTCTGTCAACGTCTAGTGCGTTGGGGTCCCTGGGTAAGGGTCTACGAAATCACCAGGACACAGGGGATGCAGAGCAAAGGCAGCACTTGCAACTGCATACTGCCGTTTATTACTCACATAGCTATATACTCGCAGTGATCAGATAAACATAACAATGTGTACTTAAAGTATCAACCCAACATCCGTGAAGTAAGATACACGAAATTCAACAAGAACAAAATACATCCTGTTTATGCTTGCAGAATAAAGAATTCTCTTAGCCATCCTTCCTTTGGAGACAACATGTTCTTTGTCTTTAGAAAGAACACTTCTGTTTAGAAAGATACACTTTAAGCTAGGCAAGAGCCACTTCCTGCTGATCCAGGCATTTAGAACTTGCAACATGAGATAAGGGGAAGAGAACATTTTCTCCTCCTGGCCCAGGCCTGCCTGGCCGTCCTTAACCTCAGTGCAGTCCTCAAATGATCTGGGCCTGCAAGGGGCCTACAAGCCTACACCATCTCAAGTTTCCCAAAAGTTGATCATTCTCTTGCCCCCATCTTACTTAACACACTAATTGTCTTTGTGTATATGCATACTTTAGTATGATTTCCTTGAAGATGAGGAATATATCACCTTTTTTTTTAGTAGTACCTGACACCAGACATAGTATATATTAGTATACATTTAGTCTAGTGAATGAATTTTAAAAAGTAACAATTTTATGTTCCTATGCATTTATGACTTTTTGTTCTCTCATATTTTATGGAGATAAACAGCTTTATCAAAAACTTTACCCAGCATGACAACTCATAAGAGAGAAAACCTTAGTAAGATTCAAATCACAGTTCATATATTTCGTATATATGTGTCTACATTTTTTATTTTAAGTATTATTCTGGTCTTTGCCCCTAATTCATCCAAACAGCTTAAGTATAATGATTTTAATTTGAGAGAAGCAGGTTAGGCCTTTTACAAATTATTCTATAAAATTAAATCTGTGTCATAAAGAGTTCCATGTGTTTAGGAAGCAAAAGAGGGAAGCTGACCTAATTATGGCTGAGCTAAATGAGCTGTGGTTATTCTTACGTTTATTCATATTTTGAAAGAAAAATGAAAACTATCCTATGCTATCTTAAAACACCTTCTGCATTATTTTCTCAAAATTTTATTTACCTTTGTATGTCATGCGGCTTTCACATTCAAAGTTTTTCCAAACTCCCCTAGGGCAAGAATCATGGGCTGTGCAGATCTGCATCCTCCCTGGCAGCCAACATAGCATGCAGTGGTCACTTGGTAAATTTGTGATCATTGTGTCTAGAAACAAATGAATATATGAGTTAGTGAGTGAATAAAGATACAAGAGAATAACTAAATGCAATGGCCTGTCATTTTCTACCTAGCTTTTTTGCAACTTCCCCATTATTATTTAGAATTTAAATTTTATTTAAATTTATTTAAAATTATTTGAATATATTATTTTGTTTTAAAAAGGAACATTTCTTTTTTTGTTTGTTTGGCTGTTTTGTGTTTTTTTGTGTAGTTCAAACTGAAACAGTCCATAAGTTTATGAGTGTGCATTAATAAATATTCCTTTTAGTTATTAGAAATGGAATGAATTACATAACCATATTTTGAAAAGAAACCAACAAAAATGGAGAAAAGAGGTAACATGAAAAAGAGAAATAGACCAAAGGGTTAAAAAGGACCTCTGAAACACATCTGAGATGTGCACCCAAATGCAGACAAAATTACACATTAGTCATTTCAGATTATGGAGTACAACCATCCTTCCTAACAAGTTGACTTTTTTAAAAGTCACCAGAAATAACTTCCCAATATTAAGTCAAAATTTCTCATTATGATAAGAGATAAACATGACTGATGCTGTGATAAAAGTCTCATGTGTACTGATTGTTTTATTTATTTCTCATGATCCTTTGACCTAGGAAGAAAAGATGAAACCAAGGTTTAGAGGGGCTAAGATATTGGCAGAACCAAGACTTGACCATAGGAAATCTGATTTCAGGGTCCACCCTCAAAATTATTATACTCTTTGCTTTCCAGTGCAGTAATATAAATAATTCTCTTTATAGCCAATTGGTAGTACAACAACAACAATAGATCTTCACTCTTAGGAACCCTCAATTTAATAGATATTCATATATTTGAGGTTACTTTTTAGAGTTAATTCCTATTTTAAGAGGCAGTAATATAGGGATAATTGTAGTCCCTGCTTCTTCTTCCTCTCTCTATGTCCTGCTCCAAACATTCCACAACACATCCCCATCCCCTCCACATAGACACACCACTTTTTAATCTGTACCTAGTCTACCTAGTATACACAGGTCAGTTTTTCATATGTTCTTCAGCTATAGCAAATAGGAAGATAAGAATGCTACTAGTACTTGAAATTTCATGTTTCCAGAACCATCCAAGAGGTAGGTGACACAGGAAGTAAGACAGTTAAGTGACTAAGAATTTAAGTTCCAGAATTAAAGTGTCTGGCCTGTAATTACTATTTGTGAGACATCAGGCAAGTTTTTATTAACCTCATCTGTAAAATGGGGGAATAAAACAATTTCCAGTTGTTGTAAGGATCTAATTATATAGTCTCTATAATGTTTTTCACTTAGGCATGGCACATAGTAAATGCTCAACTAATGTTAGATATCTATGTTAATTCTTCTCTGGAAAAAGATCTAGTATCAAATTGTGCCATAATTAAGTTGTTGTTTGTGGTGCTTTTTAGCAGATTCAGTATGTCAGCTACATAGAAAACCATCTATTGTCCAAATGTTAACACATTAATTATTTAGAGGACTCCTTTGCAATTCTGCAATTCTACATAAAGCAGGAAATAAATGTGTTACAAGAGCCATATTAAGTTTCTGCCATGGAAGATAAAGGCATTCTGATATTATTTAGATGTAAACATTTTGCCTCTTATTTAACTATTTATAAGGCTCTAAACTGCAATTGGGGAAAGTACTATGTGGTTGCAAGCATTTTTCTGGCCTACCTTTATGAAGAGATGGGATAGCTCTCTTTAAAGAACACAGGTTTGAAATGTCCCCATCAGAATATTATTTCTGCCATCTACACAACCAACATGAATCTCTAGTTTACCTGCTCTAGCTTCTTACCAGAAACTTCCATCTCAAATCATGCATTCCACTTATGGTAAATACCTGACCCAAATATCCAATTGATATAACAGCAATATACTCTCAAAATCTCCAAACCTGATTCCTACATTAAACCAGATATCCATAAAGCCACATGCTGTGCTTGATCTCATTATACCTTCAGTTGTCATAAACTGTTTCTAATTGTAAAGCTATCATCAAATACATCACTCATTTTGTCCTTTATGAAAACATCCACATAAAAATGCCCTCTAATCTCAGAGCCAGATTAAAAATATAAATATAAATATACTTGACAAATTTCTAAGCTTCCATTTTTGGATAATGAGAGCTGTGCAACATGCCAGCTACTAGAATGAAGCTCTATTAAATTTGAGTTCAAATATAAAGCTTTTCACCAACATTTTTATCTTTGATTATCTTAAATAGTTTTATATTTGTCACATAATTTTTAAATCTGATTTTCATACTACCTATTAAAAATGGAGAGAGAGTGAGGGAGGGAGGGAGGACTCACACAAAATTAGAAACTAAAGAGGAGAAATAACAAATGACACCACAGAAATACAAAGGATTATAAGAGAATATTATGCCAACAAATTGGACAAACTAGAAGAAATAAATAAATTCCTAGAAACATGTAACCTCCCAAAACTGAACCAGGAAGATACAGAAAATTTGAACATACTGTTTACCAGCAATGAAATTAAATCAGTAATCACAAAACTCCCAACAAACAAAAGTCCAGAACCAGTTGGCTTCCCAGGTGAATTCTAGCAAACATTTAAAGAGTTAATACCCGTTCTTCTCAAACTACTCCAAAAATCAGAAGAAGGAAACTTCCAAATTTATTCTATGAGGCCAGCATTACCCAGATACCAAAACCAGATAAAGACACTACAAAAAAGAGAATTACAGGCCAATATCTCTGATGAACGTAGATGCAAAAATCCTCAACAAAATATTAGCAAACCAAATCCAACAATGCATTAAAAAAATTATTCACCACAATCAAATGGGATTTATGTCCACGTTGCAAGGGTAGTTCAATATTTGCAAATCAATCAGTGTGACACATCACATCAACAAGAGAAAGGAAAAATAACATATGATCATTTCAATAGATGCAGAAAAAGAATTTGACAAAGTACAAAATCCATTCATGATAAAAACCCTCAACAAAGTAAGTTTAAAGGGAACATACCTCAACATAAAACCCATAGCTAACACCATACTCAATGGTGAATAACTGAGAGCTTTTCCCCTAAGGTCAGGAAGAAGACAAGGATATCCAATTTCACTACTTTTATTCAACATAGTACTGGAAGCCCTGACCACAACAATCAGGCAAGAAAAAGAAATAAAAGCCTTCCAAATTGGTAAGGAAGAAGTACAACTTTCACTATTTGCAGATGACATAATACCATATATAGAAAACTCTAAAGACTCTGCCAAAAAACTACTCAAATTCATAAAGGAATACAGTAAAGTCACAGGATACAAAATCAATATACAAAAATCCATCGCACATCTATACACTAATAATGAAGTAGCAGAAAAAGAAATTAAGAAAACAGTCCCATTTAAAATTGCACCAAAATAATAAAATATGTAGGAACAAACTTAACCCAAGGAGGTGAAAGATCCATACTCTGAAAATTATAATACACTGATGAAAGAAATTGAAGATGACACAAACAAATGGAAAGATAATCCATGCTCTTGGATTGGAAGAACAAATACTGTTAAATATCTATATTGCCCAAAGCAATCTACAGATTTAATGCAATCCCTATCAAAATATCAATAGCAGTTTTCATGGAACTAATAATCCTAAAATTTTTATGGAACCACAAAAGACCCCAAATAGCCAAAGCATTCTTGAAAATGAAGAACCAAACTGGAGGTGTCACAATCCCCGGTTTCAAGATATACTACAAAGCTGTAGTAATTATAACAGTATGGTAGTGGCACAAAAATAGACACACAGATCAAAAGAACAGAATAGAGAGTCTAGAAATAAACCCAAGATTATATGGTAAATTAATCTGTGACAAAGGAGGCAAGAATATGCAATAGGAAAAAGACAGTTTTGTTTTGTTTTAACAAATGGTGTTGGGAAAACTGGACAGCTACATGCAAAAGGACGAAATTAGACCACTTTCTTACACCCTACACAAAAATAAATTCAAAATGGATTAAAAACCTAAATGTGAGACCTGAAACCACAAAAATCCTAGAAGAGAGCACAGGCAGTAATTTCCTTGATATTGACTGTGGCAACATCTTTCTAGATACCTGAGGCAAGGGAAACAAAAGCAAGAATAAACTATTGGGATTACATCAAAATAAAAATCTTCTGCACAGCAAAGGAAATAATCAACAAAAGTACAACCTACTGGATGGGAGAAGATATTTACAAATGATATTTCCAACAAAGGGTTAGTATCTAAAATACATAAAGAACTCCTATAACTCAACACCAAAAACCCCCCAAATAATGCAATTAAAAATGGGCAGAAGACATGAACAGACATTTCTCCAAGGAAGACATACAGATGGCCAGCAGGCACATGAAAAGATGCTCAACATCACTCATCATCAGGGAAATGCAAATCAAAACCACAAAGAGATATCACTGCACACCTGTCAGAATGGCTTAAACACACACACACACACACACACACACACACACGAAACAACAGGTGTTGGTGAGGATATGGAGAAAAAGGAACCCTTGTGCATGTTGGTGGGAAAACTTGTTTCTCAAGTTTCATCTTTCTTCAGTGGCATTCAACATAGGTGCTCTCCCCCTTTTCTTAAGTACACTTTTTTCACTTGCATCTCAGGAACACCTCACTCACTACTTCACTGGCTCCTTCTACCTCTTTGGTTAGCTCCTCTTCTCCAACTTCTAATGGCAGACTCTTCCAGGACTTAGTTCTTGGACCCCTTCTCTATCCTAATTCCTTTCTTTGGTGATCTCATCCAGTCTCAAGACTTTAAATGCCACCTGTATTCCAATGACTGTCTCCCTGACAGAGCCATTAGCCCTAAACTACTCCACCCATCTCAACTGAGGGCAATTCTGTACTTAAATTTCCTCAGGTCTGAAACTTTTAGAGTCATCCTCTTTCTTCTCATATCTTATATCCAATCTCTCAGACA